CCCAAGGCATGCCATAATGCAGCCGATCTCTCCGTCTGGGGCGGCTATGCCACCCCAAGGCATGCCATAATGCAGCCGATCTCTCCGTCTGGGGCAGCTTTGCCACTCCAAGCTATGCCATAATGCAGCCGATCTCTCCGTCTGGGGCAGCTATGCCACCCCAAGGTATGCCATAATGCTGCCGATTTCTCCATCTGGGGCAGCTATGCCACCCCAAGGGGCGTGGAGGTACCATTACCACGACCTGGGCAGTCGTCTCCAATTGTGATCATATCCGTCTAGACTTCTTCGTGCTTCGTTATTTCCCTGTTGATATGACTTAAAGTAATAGTAGTACTACTAGTAAATTACTTTGAGTACTTACTTACTACTACTGTAGTAGTAAGTAAGTACTCAAAGTAATTTACTTTGATATACTGGCGTAAGTTGCGTAGGAGATCTAGTGTGTGCGGAATCTTATTCATTCGTAGCGTCTCGCGTGAAGAACGTGAGTTTATCGATATTAGTAGTGCAGAAGGGCTCCGGAATGAGGGAGACTTCTGGGACCTTTCCCTTCGACAACATCAGGATGTGATTGGACTTTGGTAACAAGTTGAAACATCTTCTGATGACAAAGTCATCATCGATCGCAGATACAAGTGTTGAGTTTCTCACCGGGGGGAATGGCTCGACCAAGAGGACGTTACAGACTGGTTAATGTTTATAAACGTTTCGCTCCCGAATCATGTTATAATCTACCATCTCAGACGTGTATAAGTCTATTTCCATTCAAACATTTCACTCTTATACTTTACCGACGTTCTATCTGCTATTGTGATGAGCAACAGCTGAGCCCTATTGCACTCACAGGGGGCGACTCCTGTATGAAAGTAATGGTAGTGATTCCTGCTAAGGAATCAACGAGAGGGATATCCTGGACGACAGAGGAACACAACTTGTACAATAAAGCACGCAGTAGAAACCAAAGTGCTTCAATAGACGGTAGACTGATCGCATGCAACTAAGATGAGTGAATTGATATAAATCCTGTGGGGGATCATCAGGTCGTGCTTTCTTCCTGCGATGGACGGTCTTGGACATCCGCCGCGGAGAAAGTTATGACCTTAGTGAGGAAGAGCTCGTGCGAGTTCTAGTGCGTACACTGTCACTTCAACTGTCAACCCCATTCTCACTTACTCCATAACTGTTTCTACTGGCTCTATTGGACCTACACCTACTTTTAACTGGTATCATAACAATAGATAAGGTGTTAGATGAGATATCACTCAACCGCTCTTCCTCGGCTACTCAAGACGAATCATATGATGATGCTCCCACAGTTGTAACCACCAGGGTGTGGTGATGTTGATGATAATGATCATGATGATGACTGCTGAAGTCCATAATAATAACGGCATTGCTGATGATAGCGATGTTCTTGATTATGATCATGATGCCAAAGCCGATAATAATGACGGGCCGTCATTGACGGCATTGAAGATGATAGTGGTATTTATGATCATAGCGATGATGATGATGATTATGATGATGATGATGGTGATGACGATGCAGCATCGTCGATGCTAGAGTCGATAATAATAACGGCATCGATGATGATAGTAACTAGGCCTTCGTGACGAAGGGCGGAGCTCACTTAGTCCAGTGGACTAAGTGGCTCGTCACGTGGACTAAGTCCACGACGTAGACTCCACGTCTATCGATTGGCCGGCGGGCCTCCTGTCACCAAAGACCGGGCCTGCTGACACCAAAGAACTCCCACGGCCTCCCACTATCTCCCACTTTCTCCCACACGCGACCTACGGTCGCGGCGATGTCCGAGGGGATGCGCGGCCTACGGCCGCGCCGGGTTCGCTTTGTTATAGGTCTGGCACCGACGATACCCACCGTTTTTGACTCCATGTTGGTTGCGTCGCGCCCCCCGCGCATTTTCTCGCATTTTTCGTGCATTTGAATATCTCATGAAAAAGTGTGGTCCCATCCTTTTAATCTGCCTTTTCCCATACGGAGAGTTTCAGTAAGTGCGAGTGCAGCATATACACTCATCTGGTTACAGTTCCGGAACCAAGTATCACTTGTAGAGTATCGGTAATTGTGTTTGGTTATCTGAAGCCGATTTATAGATCCACCGCAGTGTCTCAACTATAGCATATACATTTATCTGGTTGCGATTCCGGAACCCAGTATCACTCTTAGAATATCGGTAATTGTGTTTGGTAATCTAAAGCCGAGCCCTAGAGCCACCGCATTGGCTCAAGTGCAGCGTATACACTCATCTGGTTACAGTTCCGGAACTTAGCATCACTTGTGGAATATTGGTAACTGTGTTGGATAATTTGAATCCGAATCATAGATCCACCACACTGGCTCAAGTGCAGCATATACACTCATCTGGTTAAAGTTCCGGAACCAAGTATCACTTGTAGAGTATCCATTGCAATGGCTGAAGTGCAGCATATACACTCATTTGGTTACAGTTACGGAACCAAGTATCACTTGTAGAGTATCGGTAATTGTGTTTGGTTATCTAAAGCCGAGTTATAGATCCACCGCAGTGTCTCAACTATAGCATATACATTTATCTGGTTGCGATTCCGAAACCTAGTATCACTCGTAGAATATCGGTAATTGTGTTTGGGAATCTAAAGCCGAGCCCTAGAGCCCCCACATTGGCTCAAGTGCAGCGTATACACTTATCTGGTTACAGTTCCGGAACCAAGTATCACTTGTAGAGTATCGGTAATTGTGTTTGGTTACCTGAAGCCGAGTTATAGATCCACCGCAGTGTCTCAACTATAGCATATACATTTACCTGGTTGCGATTCCGGAACCCAGTATCACTTGTGGATCATTGGTAACTGTGTTGGATAATTTGAATCCGAATCATAGATCCACCGCACTGGCTCAAGTGCAG